ATCCTCAATCATTGATAAAATCACTTCCAAAAGCACAATATTTGAGAGTGATGAGAAATAATTCTGATGAGACCATTAAGGAAAGACAACTGTCAGAAATGACAGAAAATTTTTACAACGAGGATATCAGCGCTCTATCCTAGATCAAGCACTAAAAGAAACTAGGAAACCTTGAGTATTTAAAGATCAAGCATCAGCTCAAAGATTGTTTTTTCCCACTACATACCACCAATCTACTCAAGCAATCTCTTCTGTTATAAGAAAAAAATGGAGAATTTTGGCGTCTGATGACACCCTTCCCAAGGTCTTCCATGAAAAACCGCTCATTTGTTTCAAAAGAAACAAAAATTTAAAAGACTTATTAGTATGTACAGATCCTGTTCTGAGCTACACAGCGATTACTTCTACTCAAAATCGAGGTTGTGTTCGATGTCTTGGGTGCGTTACATGTGAACACATGACGCCAGCAAAAAGTTTTTTACACCCGCATACGAACAAACAATACTCCGTCAAGAGTACTATAACGTGTAAAACCACACACGTTATTTACAAGTTAACATGTCCGTGTGGCTTAGTATACATAGGAAAGACAGAAACTGCGCTATGTGAAAGGATAAGAGGACACTGATCGAGTATCAGGTTGGCATATAGAGATGGAATATCTGATAAACCTGTTGCCAAACATTTTTTACAGATGAAACATCCACTTGCTACTTTAAAGATTGTAGCCATTGAACACATCTCAGCATCAAATAGAGCTGGAGACCGGGGAAGTCTTCTATTAAACAGAGAAACTTTTTGGATTTTTGAGTTGGATACGGTATCTCCGAAGGGGTTAAACGAACATATTTCTTTCCATTCTTTTTATTTTTTTATCTTAAATTCTTTATTTGTCATACGATAGGTATAGCAAGTACAATATAACTTACAGGCTTACGCAGAAGCCAATAGCAAATATAACATTCTTGGACGTACAAAGTGTATTACGAGCACACATTGACAAGCCATTTAGAAACCTTTTGTGCCTTGCTTCCCATAACTTTATGCTTCCACTCACCGGGTGAAACAACTGCACAGAAACGTTCGGACTTACGCAGAAGCCAACATAAACATTGCAAGTGGCTAAACTATACAGATCAAGTAGGCCATGCGAGCCCTACCTGCGTCCCCGTACAATCGTTGCCCCATCAAGGGAACTTTCTCCATTCTTTTTTATAGTACTCATCGTGGTAGGACTGTTCACCCTCTATTTTTGAGATGTAGTGAAAATGGTTTTTCTAACAGCCCGCAAAGTGTCTTCTGTAAGAAACAGTCACAATTTCTTTGCATGTATGTCTGTTCTACAATAATGTATACAATGTTTTTTGCATGCATTTTTTGCAATTTTTGCTTCTATGTATTTGAGGCAATATGGCTCAGTGAAGATTTATGAATTTAGTAGTCTAACTAAAATAGGGCTCCAGCTTGTTATATCATTTTAATTTATGATTTTTTTTTTTTTAAATTTGAAGTTTATTGAGTTTCAACATGTCATAATGTTAGGGGGGGGGAGGGGAGGGTACAGAAAAGAAGGGGTTAGGCGACACACAGTTACATTATAGATACATATTCCATTCCCAGCAAGAATTATACTAATCGAGTTGTCAGGCAAATATTAGTATTTCAAAGTCATACATGATGCCAGTCCCCAGTGGGTTGAGGATTATACTTCATACACACATCTATTGACTTTGACCGCTCCTAGCATTTTGTCAACCAATCTTTTAGCGTTTCCTGCAATCATCCTGTTGCCCCCTCATGTCTTATCCTGGCTCTGCCAAGTGTCCTTTCCTGCCTCGTTATCCCACCTTGTGGCTGTTCCTTATATATCTACCAATTGGGCTATGTGTGTACTGTCCCCATGTCAACTAGCTCCCTGTGTGGAGGTTACTATGATGTCTTAGTGGTGTTGTTGTGCCAGGTGGCTTGTAGTCTTTGTGTCCAGGAGCTCCACAACTCCCATGCTCCCCCCCAGCGCTGCGTTTTTGTGTGTGTAGCAGAGTATTGCGTTTCATAGATTTGTTGTTTATTTACATCTTGTATAATGTGGGAGACGCTCGGGGGTCTGGTAGATTTCCAGGACCTCGCTATTACTCTCTGTGCTGTCAGTAATATATGATAGATTAATTTCTTTATCGTGGCAGGCAAGTCAGGGGGAGTGTCCAGTAAGAGAAATGTCGAGGGCTCTAGGGCAATGTCCGTTTTAGTAGTTTGGGTAATAAGTTGTCGTACTTCCTTCCAGTACCTCTCTAGTTTAGGGCATCTCCACCAAATATGTAGTTCTGAGCCCAAGTCTCCAGCACATCTCCAGCAGGTCGGGGGCGAGTGGGGATACAGCCTGTGTAGGTGAGTGGGCACCATATACCACCTATAGATTGTTTTTTGGTATTGTTCAAGAAGAGGGGCTGATTTCACCAATTTTCTCACTGATGTTGCTATGTGTTTCCATTTGTGTTCTGTTATGTTAACATTCAGGTCCGTGGACCAGTGCTGTGCCTGGATAGAGCTATGGAACGGCTGGTATGAGTGGATACTTTTGTAGCATTCAGATAGTGGTTTAAATTTGGGTGGGGGTATCCCTGTAATCCCTATTTTTTCCCAGGTCGAGAGTTCTTCACCTCCGTCGCGTTTTTGTGCTTGTTCTCTATTGTGTTTGTGTAAGAAGGATTGTAGCTGGATGTGTGAGTAGTGAGATGTGGGTGGTATGTTGTATAGGCGGCGCAGGTCCAGAAAGGGCAGCAGTTTGCCCTTTTTGTATAGGTGGGCTAGGTGGGTGGCTCCCCTGTCTTTCCATGGCGTTGCATGGAATGTGGGGATACAATACGTAAGTGCCTCAGTAGGGGTTGCTAGAGACAGTGGACACTGCGATTCAAAGTGCGATCTGTGTTGGTCCCAGATATTTAGTGCTAGGCTAAGTTGTGATGGCATGGTCGTTGTAGTTGGTCTAATGGTTTTCCGTAGCCACATTAGGTTAGAGACTCGGAGGGGGGCTATGGCTTGATTTTCCATGTGTACCCATTGGGGTTGGCCCTTTATGGTAAGATGTGCAAGCAGCGATGCCAGTATCGCAGCTTGGTGATATGTTTTGACATGTGGGAGCGCCATCCCGCCTTTACACGCGGGGGCCATTAATACTTTTTGAGAGATTCTCGCCCGTCCTGTGCCCCAAGTGAATTGTAACATTTTTGCCTGTATATTCTTGAAATATGAGTTTGGTGCTTTCCATGGGAGGCTCCTGAATACGTATTGGAGTTTTGGCAATATGGACATTTTAAGTGCTATTATGCGCTCCGCCCAGGATAAGAAAATGTGTCCCCAGCCCTTCAGGATTCCGGAGCAGTCTTTCCAGACCCCGTTATAGTTGGAAGGAAACATATCATTTGTGTTTTTGGTGAATGTTAGTCCCAGGTATTTTATGTTCCCAGTTCTCCATTCGAATGGGTATTCTCTCTGCAGTTTTGTCAGGACTTGTGAGTCCAGGCGGAAACCTAATGCTTGTGTTTTTGTGGCATTTAGAGAGTAATAGGACAGCGCCCCGTACTCCTTGATGAGTTTCATTATGTTAGGTAGGGATTTGACAGGATTTGTAATGTACAGCAAGATGTCGTCCGCGAATGCGCTAATTTTTATCGTTCGCCCATGCCAATTTACCCCGTCTATTGCTTGGTGGGTTCTGATCGCTGCAAGTAATGGCTCTAAGGCTAGTACGTATAGTAGGGGTGACAAGGGGCACCCCTGTCTCGTGCCATTCATAATTTTGAACGGCGTGGACAAAAACCCCGCTTGCAGGACTTGGGCTGAGGGGTGTGAGTACAAGGCAAATATCTGGTTGATGAATTGGTGTGGGAATCCGAACCTTTCCAGCACCCGGCGGAGGAAGGGCCAGCCCAGGCGGTCAAAGGCTTTCTCAGCATCTAAGGCCAGTAGTAGACTCCCTGGACCGGCCCCCCGCATCTTTTCCAACACCAGGGATAGCTTTCTGGTGTTGTCCGTCCCCTGCCTTCCCAGCACGAACCCAGTTTGATCATCGTGTATCAGTGTTGGAAGAATTTTACTCATTCTGGTGGCTAGTATCTTAGCATAGATCTTGGCATCCGAGTTTAGCAGTGAGATGGGTCTAAAATTTTTGCATTGATCTGGAGGTTTCCCGGGTTTGGGCAAGGTTACTATTGTGGCTAGGAGCATCTCGGAGGGGAGTTGGCCCGTGTCCGTCGCCGTCTGGAACGTCCGCATCAGCCACGGGCCAAGTATATCTGCAAATGTTTTGTAGTACAGATTGGACAAACCATCAGCCCCCGGAGATTTTCCAGCGGGCAGCTGTTTGATGGTGTCCAGGACTTCGTCTACTGTGATTGGTTCCAGTAGTGCGGAGTGTTGGGTCTGGTCCAGCCTCGGGAGGGGGAGCCCTGTTAAGTAGGAGCGAATTGAAGCGTCCTCTAAGGGGGCCACGCCAGGCTGATCCCCCAGGTTGTAGAGGTCAGCATAATAATTAGCGAACTCTTGTGTTATTTCCATAGGGTTTTGTATCTTTTTACCCGCCGCGGTATGTAGGTGGGCTATTTTGGACGTTGCCAGTCTCGCCTTTAGGCGGTTGGCTAGGTATTTTGTAGCTTTTCCACTATGATGGTAGGATGTTGCCCTCAACCTTTGTAAAAAATAGGCCGTTTTCGCTGCATTCAGTTCTGTTAATTGACTTGTTAGGGTTTGCACCTGTTTAGCCAGCGCCGGAGATGGGTTCAATTTGTTTTGGGTCGTCGCTACTGCTAGCAGTTTCTGGCATTCTAGTTGGGTTTTTTGTCTATGTTTCTTGAGATGTGAGGAGCGTCTAATGAAGAGGCCTCGCGCCATCGCTTTATGTGCGAGCCACACGGTTTGGTCAGACACGTCTCCCCCAGAGTTTGTCTGAAAATAGTCAGCTAAGTCCGTCCTCACCTGTTGTATGAATGTGTTGTCTCGTAATAATGATTCATTTAACCGCCACGTCCCCCTCCCCTTAAATTGGAAAGAGTCGAAGAGCTCTAGGTATACAGGGCTGTGGTCCGACCAGGTTATGTCACCAATAGTACAGGTCGAAACTTGTGCTAGCGTTTGTTGGTCTACATAAAAGGTATCAATCCGGGTGTAAGTGTTGTGTACTCTCGAGTGGAACGTGTAGTCCCTCTCACCAGCGTGGAGGACCCTCCAGCTATCGTATAAATTGTGTAATGTAAGTTTTGTATTTAACGTTTTACATGTTGATACTATTTGTCTTCGCCTTGCGCCCTGAGGGAGTGCTGTTGTGTCCTCCTCAGGAGACGTGATAAAATTAAAGTCTCCACAGAGGATTAGTCCCCCTAGTTTGTGTTGGTCAATTTTCTGCATGAGGCGATGGAGAAATATCTCTGCACCTGTGTTAGGGAAGTATGCCGAGACCAGGGTGTACTGAGCGTTATTGAAGAGGCCTGTCAAAATGATATATCTACCCTGTGGGTCCACTAGTTTTCCCTGTTCTATAAACGCCACATCTTTGTGGATTAGAATGGACGTCCCCTTGGTTTTATTTATCGAGACCGCATGATATTGGGTTGGAAAGTGTTTGGTGTACAATTCGGGGATCTTAGTATTTTTAAGATGTGTCTCCTGGACACAGGCTATATCGATTTTTTGTTTCCTAAGCTCTTGTAACAAGAGGCTTCTTTTACCTGGGGTATTCAACCATTTTACATTATAAGTCAAAATTTTCATGGTGGGTTAATAGGATTTCTAAAGCCCAACACGCTAAGTCGTGTCCCAACCATGTGTAATAGTATCCTGGGGTTGTTATTGTATGCCAGGTGGTGGTAATGCTTGCGAGAATGCTCCAGTTGAGGGTGTAACATGTGTACTGCATGTCGTGGGGTGGTACGGGGGGGGTAAAGAGGGGTCGAAACAGGTTGTGGGTGGTGTACCCAGTAAAGCTCCCATAACTGGGGCCTCGTTCCGCAATCTAGCCAGTAGATGCGGGTAGTGGGGGGGGTGCAGGTGAGTCCGTCTAACATGTCGGTCGTTCACCTAGAGACCTCAGAGCAATGTCAAGCTAAATACTTACAAACTAGTTAAGTGGTTAATACATGAACATACAGTAAAATAACCAATATAATTCTGTGATACTCGTGACACACCCTCTCTGGGTAAGCGCAGTGAAGGTGTCTGTAGCTAACAACATCTCATGCGCAGTCCATTCCTTCATGTAATACAAATTGTGCATTGGGCAGAGTCTAAATCTAACCAGCTGTATATGCTGCTGATTTGATGAGTCTAGAGCTTGTAGTGCCCATGTTAATTAATATATGTACCATATTCTGGAACGAGAGTGTCTTTGGCATTATAAAGTCTTATATCAGTCTGTTTTATTATTCGTAGAGGTGTGTGTGCTATATAGTTACGTGTATCACAGGTGCTTCATTTGGTCGACCATTCCGGCTGCAATCTTGGGATTCTTGCCGACTTTGTTGGTCCGATGGGTGGGAGAGGTAGGCCCCAATCCTTCAGCTTGCGAATGCCGTGTGTCACATCTGTAACCATGTGGATCGCGTCTTGATGAGAAATCAGGAGTTTGGCTGGATATCCCCAGCGGTAGTTCACGTTCTGTTCTCTCAGAATTGAGGTGATGGGTGCCAGAGATTTCCGAAAATGCAGGGTGTCAGCCGACAGGTCTGCAAAATTTTTTATAGATTTGTATTTATCAGGCAGGCTTATGACCCTACTGGCTCTCATAATTTTTTCTTTGGCGTGGAAAAAATGAATTCTTGCAACTACATCTCTCTCTGCCATAGGAGGTAGGTGCTTGGGTCTGCGTAGTCTGTGCGCTCTGTCGATAAGCAATTGGTCAGGGTGAATTTCTGGGGCGAGGACTTGGAATAGGCTTGATAGGTAACTTTGGAGGTCAGCGTTTTGTATAGATTCTGGAATGCCTCGGAACCTGAGGTTATTCCTCCTTGCTCTGTCTTCCATGTCCGCTAGTTTTATTCTATGTACCTCCAAAATATTATCCAGCTCTTGGATCTTATCTGCTAGGCTGTTGTGAGCTGCAGCTTGTTCATCCAGTTTGGTTTCAATCTGTGTGGTGCGATTACCTATCTCCTGTATCTCTCTGTGTAATTCAGTTTTCAGCTCCTGGAGCTGTTTCTTCATGTTCCTTTGAATGGTGGTCGTGAATTCCTCCATCACTGCTCGGATGCCCCCCATGGTCAGGGGTTGCTCCTCTGGTGAGCGAGGAGGGGAGTTTTCCCGCCTCTCCTGGTCGCCGCCATCTTGTGCAGGCTCCTGGCCCTCTCTCAGCTTGGAGGCCGCGGCTTTAGTCAGGAAGAACGCGGCTCGGTCGGATTTCTCCGCTTTGTTTTTCTGCCTCTGCGACATGATGCTCACCTCCTCCGGTCAGTGTAGATATAATGCGCTCGGTGTACCGCTTGGTTTCAGCCCTTTTAGGTCTCCGTTTGCCGGAGCTGTTCTTACAGGCGTCCGTTCATCTCCGGCTGCAGGCCACGCCCCTTAATTTATGATTTTAATGATACAGTCTGAGATATTGTGAGTAGTGATTCAGTACACTTTATAATTAGTGCAATTACATTAGTTAACAGTGTAGTGTTCAACTTTGTATACACTATTTTGCAGATTTTCAATTTCGTTTAAATCTATAACATATATATCTCAGATTGATTCTTAATGTGTATATCAATAAGTGTGGCTTTTTTGTAGAATACGTATATGATTAGTCTTTTATTAATTTTTATAGATTATGTATTGTTCACAATATATCTGCAGTATATAATTATTATTTTCATCACTTGGTCACCTTCAAAGCACTATTTAGCACTTTTTCAACACAGTTGTCACTTAAAACTCAGTATTCATATGCTATATAAGTACTGCTTCACTAATCCCGTTTGCTGTTATAACGGAAATTTACTGCAACACTGCACTTTATATCAATTCATGTTTTATTAATTTATTTATGACATATAGCTATATTATTCCATTGTAGGATAATTATTAATTATTTCCTACAATAACACCACTATTTTGTTTTTTCACTTAATTGAATACACTATATATAACAGTTATCAGCCATACTGATTACTCTAATCACAGTGCCCTTACAAACACTGATGTTTCATATGTCCGTTTTACTTTATTGCCATAGCGACGTTTTGCATGCTTGCGTCGCTATGGTAACAGACAGTCACGTCGGCGTATCATGACGTCACTATGTTGGGCGGAACATACTTGCACATGCGCACTGGAGATACAGGGACGCCGGTCAGACGGCGATGTTCACCTGGGGTAAGCTTATTCACTTAATTAATTTTTTTATCTAATTAATTATGTCTTATATAAAAATGCTGTATGTTTGATACTTGCTTTTATGATCCTGAAGAAAGTCCTTTTAGAAGGACTGAAACGTTGATCGCAAGTTTTTTTATGCATCTTCAATAAACTTTGGACTTTTACACAGAACCGTGAGTGCAGCCATCTACTTGGTTTTTCTGGATACACTAGCTACATGGGGCTGGCACCCGGTCACCTAAGGATGAATTAGCGTGAGTGCAGGAACTATTTTTTTTTTGTTATTTTATATATATATATATATATATATATAAATGCACTCTTGCATACATACATACACATATATAAGTGTATATATATATATATGTGTGTGCGTATATATATATATATATGTGTGTATATATATATATATATATATAAAATACAGAATCCAGCGCACTCGCTTATTCACTAAACAATGATTCCAAATCTTAGAGATTGTAATAGTTTTATTTAAAACCTCACCTAGGCAAAAAATTATGGGGGTTTAGTTACATTATATGATCATACATTGCATAAGCCTGCCAACTACGTCAAGGTACCCCATATTCGGCAGGTCCTATCCTAGTAGCAGGACCTCATTCCAGGATCCTATTTAGCCTTGACTTGCAGAGAGTGCCAGTAAGGAAGTATTTCCCAAGTAAGTGGATTAATCTCATAAGAGCAAGCATTAGGCTGCTAAACCCCCATCATTTTTTTGCCTAGGTGAGGTGTTTTTAAATAAAACTATTACAATCTCTAATATTTGAAATCATTGTTTAGTGAATAAGCGAGTGCGCTGGATTCTGTATTTTGTATATTTTGGCCCCAGCAGCACCCTATAATGTATGCATGTTCAGGTGAGTGCAGCCCTCTTGGTTTCTTATATATATATATATATATATATATACACACACACACACACACACACGCAGCGTGTGTTGGGCTTTAGGGTGCACACCCTAATGCAATAGGCTGTGCACGCCTATGTGCAGTTGTGCTCAAAAGTTTGCATATCCTTGCCGAAATTGTGAAATTTTGGCATTAATTTTGAAAATATGACTGATGATGCAAAAAAATTTATTTTACTGAAGGATATTGATCATATGAAGCCATTCATTATCACATAGTTGTTTGGCTCCTTTTTAAATAATAATGATAACAGAATTCCACCAAATTGTTACATACCCTTGAAGGTTTGGCCTTGTTACCTGTGGCTTTTTAAATTGCAATTAGTGTCTGTGTATAAATAGTCAATGAGTTGGTTAGCGCTCATGTGGATGCCCTGAGCAGGCTTGATACTAAGCCATGGGGAGCAGAAAAGAACTGTCAAAAGACCTGCATAACAAGGTAATGGAACTTTATAAAGATGGAATCGGATAAAAAAAAAAAAAAGATATCCAGAGCCTTGAAAATGCCAGTTAGTATTGTTCAATCACTTATTAAGAGGTGGAAAATTCAAGGATCTCTTGATACCAAGCCAAGATCAGGAATACCAAGAAAGATTTTAGCCACAACTACCAGAAGAATTGTTCAGGATACAAAGAAAATCCCATAGGTGTCAGGTCCTCTGCCTTTGTTCCACTCGCGGCAGCCTTGCTTACCCAGTCACCGTGAGCAGCGCCATTTGGTCCCTGTCCGAGGAGCGTGGCTGTCCCCGCCGCCGTGCTTCAGACTGACAGGGTTTCTGACGCTGCACGCTCAAGAGCAGCATCCTTATATGTGTGCCAGACCGGGTCATGTGACCCGACACAGAGTGATGACCTCAGAGACCACAAGGGAGGGAAGAAACACCTCCAATGACACTAATTGGAGGTTAGCCAATCAGACACACCCGGTGTGTAAATAAGATAACCTCCCCCTTGCCTTAGTGCCCTGTTGTGGTCTTTGTTTAGCCCAATAGCGTGTTATACTCTGTCTGATTATTGGTTACTGTACTTTAACTTGTCTTATATTTACTCTGTTTTTTCTGCACCCTGACCTCGGCTTGTCTCCGTATTCTGTCTCTCTAATTTCCTTTGACCTTGGCTTGCTTTGACTATTCTTTTGCATAGCCCGGCCATTCGAAGGACCGGTATTGCAATTCTGTCTGTTATGTCCTGTGTGTTAGGTTCCTAACAATCGTGACATTACAACAGGGCCAAATGGAACTAGCTGACATCTCACAGCAGCTAGCTGCCCAGAATTCCAGGATGGGTGATCAAAACCATCGCCTGGATCAGTTCGCCCAGGCCCTTCAGACCATCCTGCAGCATACTGCTCACCACCAACCAGAGGCACAGCAGCCTGCCGCTGTCCCACAGGCTTCTGCTCAAGTCCTGTTACCTATTGGTCCTTACCATACTATGCGCATGACATCATCCCAATGCTATAGTGGCCACTATGAATACCTGGTAATGCCTTTTGGCCTATGTAACGCTCACGCAGTCTTCCAGGACTTTATTAATGTAGTCCTCCGGGATCTCCTGCATGTATGTGCAGTGGTGTATCTGGACGATATCCTTGAAATTCCCCAGACCTTGAAACCCACCATAAACACGTCAGATCAGTGTTGAAGAAACTACTGGACAATGGTTTTTATTACAAACTTGAGAAGCGTTTCTTTGACCAGACCTATGTGCAGTTCTTGGGTTACATCATATCTGAGGATGGATTTAGTATGGATCCCAATAAACTGAAGGCTATTAAGTCCTGGCCATTTCCTCAAGGACTTGAGGCCATACAAAGATTCGTAGGTTTTGCGAACTATTACAGAAAGTTCATAAAGAACTTCTCTTTCATAGTTGCCCCTATCACCAAGTTGACCAAAAGGGTACCAATCCATGTGAATGGGGTCTTGAGGCTCTTGCGGCCTTCAAAACGCTAAAGGAAGCTTTACGTGAATCCCTGTTTTGCACCATCCTGACTCATCACTGCCTTTCATAGTTGAAGTGGATGCGTCTGAGTCAGGGGTTGGTGTAATCCTCTCCCAAAGGAAGACACACAACACTCTTCTCCACCCATGTATTTCTCCAAGAAATTATCAGATGCAGAGAGGAACTATGATGTAGGAAACAGTGAACTGTGGAGTGGAGACACCTCCTGGAGGGGTCCAGACACCCCATCTTGGTTATTACAGACCATAAAAACCTCTCCTATATAGCAGAGGCCAGACGGCTATCCTCTCGCCAAGCTAGGTGGTCCTTGTTCCTTTCACATTTCCAATACACCATAACATATAGACCTGGATATCACAACACCAAGGCGGATGCCATATCCCGGCAACATGACCCATTAGAGGCTGATCCTACTCCCCCTGAATCCATAGTCTCTCCCGGAAACATTGTTGCCGCAACCAACCTTGTGATCTCCTCCATAGGCGTGCGCAGCCTATTGCATTAGGTTGTGCACCCTAAAGCACACATACATACATACATACATATATATACAAATACACTCTTGCATACATACATACATACACAGACCTGCACTCATATAAATATTAATGCAAACATTTAAAAATCTTATTGATTTTTAAAAATTATTAAATAAGCATTTAGCAATGTAAACAAGCATTTTAACCCCTTAAGGACACATGACATGTGTGACATGTCATGATTCCCTTTTATTCCAGAAGTTTGGTCCTTAAGGGGTTAAATTTTGAAACTTATACCCATTAGACCGAATAAAAGGGAACACATATCAAATTGGCACATAATAAATTAACGGGGACGACAAAACGCCAAACATCGGTAGCACAGGCTCCGATCCTAAAGCATAACTAACGGATAAGGCAGGATCGCAAATTAAGAACAAACACTAGTCTCGGAGATAGATGCTCTGTGCCCCTCGGAGAGGTACGGAATGAGAAACATGGAAAAGGTTCAGCTAACAAGCCAAAAGAACCTGGGGATCAAATTACAGCTTCGATTCCCGACCTAATCGAGAACCATAAAACTATGTGATTAGTATCCTCAAACTGATGGTATGTTGGAGACCTGCGTGTCCCAAACGGCAAATCTTCTTAACATATGTATTGACTGTTTGAACTACTTTTCAATAAAAACAGATTTACAAAAAAATAAAAAAAAATTTAAACTTAAAAAAAACCCATTTAAAATAAATAAGCTGTTATAACTGTAACAAATCTAAGTGAACATTTTTACACAAAGTGCATGGTACATGGGAAATTTTACAACAGAAACTAAATCAAAATGTTGCTTCAACCAAATTGGCATTAGTAAAGTTGTCTGGACCCCTATAGATTATTATGGTTTCCTCATCTGTATGCTCTAGAGAAGAAGTCGCACAGAAAGTGTTATGGACTTAAATTCTTCAATGACCTCGTTATAAGTAGCCGACCAAGCCAATTCAGCGTCAATTCCCCCCATATTTCATATGCTCCGCAAATTTCATGTACACCCCCTCATTTCATGTCCATCCCCCCCATATTTCATGTCCATTTCCACATATTTCATATCCCCCCCATATTTCATGTCCATCCCCCCCACTACTGACTCACTGAGAGGAAGGGGGATGAAATCTTTATCATGGAATCACTAGTAGTACTAGTGAGTCCATGATAAAGATTTCATCCCTCCTCCCTCATTCCATGCATATGGTCACTCACGCCTCTACTGGCTTAAGTCCCTTCCAGGTGGCATATGGTGTGCAACCCAGCGTCCTTCCCGGTGTGTTCTCCGACAAGGGAATACCCGCTTTGGACGACGACCTTGCCGCTCTGCAGTCCCAGAAGTGGTTCGCTAATCGCCATAGGGCTGCGGCACCAGCTATTTACCTGGTGATAGGGTTTGGCTGTCTACTAGGAACATGCACCTCCGTGTCCCTTTTATGAAGCTGGCGCCCAAGTTCATCGGCCTGTATAGGGTGCTGCGCAGGGTCAATCCAGTCTCTTACTCCTTGGTCTTGCCTCCGTCTCTGCGCGTCCCCAATACGTTCCACACGTTCCTTCTGAAACCCCTCCTGTGAAACCGGTACACAAGGCCTGTTAGGCACCCCGGTCCTGTTCATGCTGACTCTGGTCAGAAGTATGAGGTTCAGTCCCTCCTCGACTCCCGCTTTCACAGTGGCACCTTGCAGTACCTGGTCCATTGGAGGGGGTACGGACCGGAGGAGCGTCCCTGGGTATCTGCCTCTGATTTGAACGCCCCTCGTCTTGTTTGGGCCTTTCACGCTTGTTTTCTTTTGAAGCTCTCGGTTTCCCTCCTGGCGGTCTTGGTTTATGTCAAGTCCACTGCCTCCGCGCTGCTCGTGGCGACCTTGCATACCCCGTCACCATGAACTGCGCCATCTGGTCCCTGTCCGCGGTGTGCGGCTGTCCCTGCCGCCGTGCACCAGACTGACAGTGTTTCTGATGCTGCACACTCCAGAACAGCATCTTTATGTGTGCCAGACCCAGTCATGTGACCTTAGAAGAAAATCCCTCCCACGTGTTGTGGTTAACACTAATTGGAGGTTAGCCAATCAGAAACGCCCTGTGTGTATATAAGCTAACCTCCCTCTTGCTCAGTGCAATGTTGTGGTCTTTGTTTAGCCCAATAGCGCGTTATACTCTGTCTGATTTATTGGTTACCGAACTGGCTTGTCTTATGTTTACTCTGTTTTCTCTGCTCCCTGACCTCGGCTTGTCTCTTGACTTTGGCTTGCTTTGACTATTTTTTTGCATAGTCCGGCCATTCTAAGGACCGGTATTGCAATTCTGTCTGTTGTGTCCTGTCTGTGTGTTAGATTCCCTACCAATCGTGACAATAGGTAACCTCAGGAAAAATACAAGCTGTTCTCGAAAAAGATGGTGTGGTTGTTTCAAGGAGCACAATACGACACTACCTGAACAAAAATGGTTGAGTTGCCAGAAATACGCCTTTACTGCGCAAATGCCACAAAAAAAGCCTGGTTACAATATGCCCAAAACCTTGATACAACTTACAGCTTCTGGCACACTGTAATTTGGAGTGACGAGACCAAAATAGAACTTTATAGTCACAACCATAAGCGCTATGTTTGGAGAGGGGTGAACAAGGCCTATAGTAAAAATAATACAATCCCCACTGTGAATCATGGTGGTGGCTCACTGAAGTTTTTTTTGGGGGGGAGGAGGGGAGGTGAGCGCTAAAGGCACAGGGAATGTTGTAAAAATTGATGGCAAGATGAATGCAGTATTTTATCAGAAAATAATGGCAGACAATTTGCATTCTTCTGTATGAAGGCTGCGCATGGAACGCTCTTGGACTTTCCAGCATGACAATGACCCTAAGCACAAGGCCAAGTTGACTCTCCAGTGGTTACAGGAGAAAAAGGTGAAGAGTGTCCATCATAGTCTCCTGACCTTAATATAATCGAGCCACTAAGAGGAGATCTCAAACGTGCGGTTCATGAGGAGGACCAAAGACTTTGCATGACCTAGAGGCATTTTGCCAAGACGAATGGGCAGCTATACCACCTGAAAGAATTAGGGGCCTCATAGACCACTATTACAAAAGACTGAATGCTGTCATTGATGCTAAAAGGGGCAATACACAGTATTAAGAACTAAGGGTATGCAGAACAGGGGTATGAACAGGGGTCATTCCATTTTTTTCTTTGTTGACATCTTTTGTTTTATGATTGTGCCATCCTGTTATCACCTACAGTTGAATATGAATCCCATAAGATATAAAATAAATGTGTTTTGCCTGCTCACTCATGTTTTCTTTAAAAATGGTACATATATTACCAATTCTTCATGGGTATGCAAACTTTTGAGCACAACTGTATGTGGATTTGCAATCCTCCAGACCCAAGGTCAGGACCAGTACTGGGTTACAAACCTATAACGTTCCTCAAGTTGGCTGTGCTAATATTCACAGGTCCCTGCTCTGAGATGCATTGCTGATTATGACATTAAGTGGTTTCTGCCCATAGTGACTTGCATGAACATAAGAAAAGAAAATCAGAAACCAAAAAAACAACCAGGCAAAGTATATACATAGATATTGCCGGACCTGTGACACCTGCCAGCGAATAGGAAAGAGATGAGATACCTCCATGGTAAGTTGAGAAGAGGATGATCTTATGGGGCTCCAGGCAAAACCTACATTCTTACTGTAGTGGAATATGTGACCAGTTATTCAGAAGTGGTAGTGTTAAACATCCAAGTGGAGATGGTGGCTGATGCCTTGATACAGATCTTCTCCTGGGCCAGGTTCCCCCATGAGATAATCTCAGATCAGGGTACCAGTTAGTGGATAGTTAACTGCAGAATTTACACACCAGCTGTGGAACCTCTGTGGGGGTTAAACCCCTACAAAGGCTCCTATATCATCCGCAGATGAACGGTTTATGAAAGCTGTTTAATGGCACATTGAAATAGATACTTCAGACCCGCAATCCAGGTAGGGAGAGACAGGGGACGAAAGGGCCCCCGATCATACCACATGTGCTGGAGATGAGGGACCGCCTGGAGCACTTGACTAAAACTATCAGGGAGAACCTCAAGACCCTCCAAGGTAGACAAAAGATATGGTAAGATCAGCAAACCCAGAACTGTACTTTCCAGGTAGGCCAGAAAGTGCTAGTTCGTAATAGACCATGCAATGTAGAATATTGCATATTCTATTCACATTAGATATGGGTGTCCAGATTGAGCATAAGTATCAGATGGTATCAATAAGTCACATGGCTTCCTTGTCAGAGAATTACATAGTTGTCTATGTTGAAAACATAATAAAGTCCATCAAGTTCCACCCTTTAAGCCCATTTTATTATGCTGTTGATCAAAAAGAAGGCAAAGAAAAATCCCAGTTGTAGTCATTTCCTATTATGCCACAAAAAAAAAATAAAAAAAAATAAGAAAAATCCTTATTGACTCCATAAAAGGCAATCAGATTTCTTCTCGGATCAACAATCGGGACTCATAAAACCTTTCCTCATACATCCTTCTCTGCAACCTTGCCGAACAGTCACCCAGCTACCTGCATGTTCTCCATCTGGCTCATCTACTTCCACTCCACAACCTGCCCCTACTAAACTCTGCTCAGTGAGCAGTAAACCCTTTTGTCAATCCTCCTCAGTGTTGCAATTTGCTTTTTCAGATCTCCAGCACAAGCTTGCAGGGTAGCCACTCGCTCACATTTGCCACAGATATATTGCCCCCAAAATGACTCTTGCATGCGTGCATACATACAGCAGACTGTGCACGGAGTCTAATTTACAGTCTTGCTAACCCTCACCCCACTAAAACAACTGCAAAATGTAAAAGGTTGTTCTAACTGTTTTTTTGAAGACCTGTGGTTTCAAACTCCTACTTTAAGATAGACTAACAGAGAATCTCTTTGTAAGCAAGCTCTCTGATTTGCTACTGTGGGTTATAGAGGTACACACATTCACACAGGTGAAAATAAAGAAACCACTCCCTTAATTAACACAAACTGAAATATGCACTCAGAGAATATAAAGATTTTAAAATCCTGTAAACACTTAAAGGGACACTCCAGGCACCCAGACCACTTCTGCCCATTGGAGTGGTCTGGGTGCCAACTCCCACTACCCTTAACCTGCATAAACTGCAATAATTACCTTGCAGGGTTACCTCCACCTCTAGTGGCTGTCTACTAGACAGCCACTAGAGGGCACTTCCGTGTTTCTAGCACAGATTTTCTGTGCTAGAGCGTCGCTGGACATCCTCACGCTGTGTGAGGACCTCCAGCGTTGCTCAATTCCCCATCGGAAAGCATTGAAAAGCCGCGCATGCGCATTACGTCTCCCTGGCTGGCGGGATCAGTCTCGCCCACCGGCCGACGTAATGCAGAGGAGGAGCGGCAGTGGAGGAAGAAGCAGCGCCGTGGGACAAGTCGCTGCCTCTGGTAAGTGACAGCAACTGGGGATTGGGAAGTGGGAGGGAGAGGGGACCTGCAGTGCCAGGAAAACGGATTGTTTTCCTGGCACTGGAGTTTCCCTTTAGGCAGAGTGCTTTAAGAGTCTCCGCATGCCAGACATACTGGGGAAGGAGGTGGGGAATAGTTGGGAGGGATCTGTGGAGGAGATCAAGTTAGGAGAGGCTCTGTATGCCTCCATGGGCCAGTGGGGAGATCAAAGATCCAGATAATGGGAACCAGCAGTAGCGGGATTGAAGGCACGACCCTGAAAGTACATAGATGCTTGAACCCTGGAAGTACATTGGGTGGAAACACCAGGACAAGCGCCCTTATAGCAATCTACTTACCGAATCCCTGATTCTGTTATAGAAGGGTTGAGGAAGGAAGTTAAGAAGATGCTACAGCTAAGTGTTTTGTGATGCAGTAAAAAAATGAGAAATGATCCCAAGGCACACCACGGTTTTGCACATAAAAAGAGTATTTATTCATGCATAGAAAATACAACAAGATATCATTATAGCAGAGAGAAAGTGCATAGTATAGTGCTAAACCAGTATATAGTACCAAAACCACAATGTAAGTAAAGTGCTAAATGCAAAAACCCATAAAAAAGGTATACTGACCAAGAGCAGTAGAAATAAAACCCCAACGTTTCGGCTGTGAAGCCTTCCTCTGGGGGATGCAGTGCCTATACTCCCACTAAGTACCTCCGCCAAGTCAGCTTCATAGCTGCCACAGGGGACTCTGGAACCCTTCAGCCCTAGATGCTTCACTGGGGTCACTGAGCTTCTTCCACCCTGGACCAGGCTGTAGCTCTCTCCTTCCAGGCAGGTATCATCCCTACTTCCACCCTGGACCAGGCTGTAGCTCTCTCCTTCTAGGCAGGCAGGCCCGGACTGGCCATCGGGCATACCGGGCAAATGCCCTGTGGGCCGCGATGGCCGTGGGCCGAGGCCGGCAGGGGAGATCACAGGATCTCCCCTGCCAGCCCCTGCAGGGCCAGCGCTACCCGAGCGCCGGCCCTGCTGTATGCCTCCATGGGCCGGTGGGGAGATCAAAGATCTCCCTCACCAGCCCACAGGCATGGAGATGGGGCCGCAGGCGGGGGAGGGAGGGAGGCAGGAGAGGACCGGCAGAGCTCTAACCAACAGCTCCGCCGGGTCCTCTAGCTGATTCTGAGCGTTGCCGCGGCAACGCTCAGATCTCGCGAGAGTGAACTCTAGCCTACAGGCTAAAGTTCACTCTCACCACTGGACCACCAGGGAAGGATGGCAGCACGGCACCCCTCATGGCACCCCAGGCAGAACGGCTCCCCCCCCAGGCTAAAGGTAAAAAGGGAGGAGGGGATAGAACTTTTTTTTTTTTAAATTATTGATACATTTTTTTTTAAATTTAAATAAAAAATTAATGCACAGACACACACAGCACCCCCAGACACACACAGCTCCCCCCCACACACAGCACCCCCAGACACACACACAGCACCCCCAGACACACACAGCGCCCACAGACACACACAGCGCCCCCAAACACGCACAGCGCCCCCAGACACGCACAGCACCCAAACACACACAGTGCACCCAGACACACACAGCATACCCTCAGGCACACACAGCGCACCATCAGACACACACAGCGCACCCTCAGACACACACAGCGAAACCTCAGACACACACAGAGCACCCTCAGACACACAGCACCCTCGCTCGCTCACACAGCACACTCCCACACACACATATATATATATATATATAATATATAAAATAACCCTTAGTGAGTTAACAAAGAAAATTAGAAACCTAGAATGTGACGGCAGATAAAAACACCCTCACACACAGCGCCCCTCACACATACAATACGTCCAAATATATATATATATATATATATATATATATATATACACACACACACACACACACACTACAGCACCCCCACACTGCACCAGTACACACATTACGCTCCAGATACACGCTAGATCCCTTACCCTATATGCACTCTTAATCCTCTACACACACACACACACAATTTCCTATACACACTCTGGGTCCTTTACACACTAGATCTCCTACACACACACACTGCACCACCTACACACACACTACATTCCTTGTCAGCAAACACATACAACATTCTCTCTACACACCCCTCTACAACCCCTACACACACTACGTCACCTATACACACACACTACAGCCCGTATACACACACTCGCTACATCCCCTATAACACTATGCCCCCCACACACACACTCTCTACAGCCCCTAGCCACAAATTTTACACCACAGACACAAAAGAAATTGACCTATTTACACAATACCACACCACAATCAGCTCACTCTACACACATGCAATCCCACAAGCAGGCTCCAAACACATCCAGCATACACTTTCCTGGCCCTTTTGTCCTCTGGTATCCCACTTGTGGAGACACCAGAGACAATTTAAAAGCAAACACAGTGCAAGCATGTTATTAAATTTGCTTGCGCTGCGCAGAACAAATTCAGGGCCTTTTTCTAATGCCAGAGTTCTTCAGCTGGGCTCTGGGCATTGAACCAACATGCTCACTTTGAGAGGGGGCGTGCTTGTCATTAGTGATGACAAAACACACACTCTCTGGCCCCGCCCCCTTGTTAGGGGGCCACTCTGATTGAAAAATGCCCGGGCCTAATTTTTTTTCCCAGTCCGGCCCTGCAGGCAGGTATCATCCCTACTTCCACCCTGGACCAGCCTGTAGCTTTCTCCTCCCAGGCAGGTATTATCCCTTCCGCTTTCCCAAGCAGGCATCCACAGCTCTGCTTGCACTGTGACCAGCTACCACCATTACATAGCTTGTGGCTCTCAGGCCTAGCTCTTTTTAACTTGTCCAGGGATCTAGACACTAAGCAGCCAGCAGGTCCGAAGACTCTGTTTCTGGGATCCCCAAATAAACAAACCAGGACAAACGGTTCCAGATAGAACTAACACACATATTTTTTTTCCTACACAGGATTAGCCCTTATGTACATTTCATTAAACGATGACAAACTCAACCTAATTCGAATAATTAAACCACACGGGAACACATACAGGAACTCATAATAACATAATAACATTGCAGAAACCATAATATGCAAATCATCAGAGAAAGCACACAAGGCATTTAACAATAAAGAATTACATTATACACACCCTGCATCTATAATGAGTTTAGGGTAAATATAACATAGGAATAATCTGGTAATTTACATAAAGTGTCCATCTTAAGCTCCTGGTGATGATGACTACCATCACAGTGTTTTAAAGCACTCAATCAGCCCCTGGGCTTCATCTGTAGTGCTGTTCCCAAAATTGGATGGGACTCGGATTTCTGTGGACTACACATGCCTTAATAATAGCACAGCGATAGATGCATATCCAATGCTATTTGCAAGGGGGAATTAAGTGACCACTTGAATACTGGCACATTCCCTTAACCCTGAAACCATTCTCAAGTAGGCATTTATTATTTTTTTTAAAATGTTTTGTATTTTTTATTTAGTTTGGACTGTATCCATTTTGGGATACGCTGTATAGGATAGAAAAATTCCCCTGCCACGTTCCAATAGACGGTAGATCGGTCTACAGTTACACCTGGGAGAAACACTTGCAGCACTTGGGCAATGTATTTGACCGAATTAGGGCCATTGAACTGACAATGAAGCTTGACAAATACAGCATTGGGATAGATGATGTTCAGTACTTAGGACACAGAAGTTGTGGACACATTGACCAGAACAGGCTGGATACTATCTTTGATATGTTCCTTGACTACTTTAATGTACAGCACCACTGCCAAATCCCTCCCTGATCTGTCATGGAATACCCTTCCCAGACAGATCTTGTGGTCCCTGGAGTGTGAGATGACATTCCAGCGATTCAAGACTGCTCTAACTTATGCTCCTGTCTTGGCCACTTCTGACCCATCTAAACAATTTATTGTCCACACAGATGCCTCTAAGTTTGGACTGTGAGCAGTGCAGATCCAAGTCGAGGATGACAGGGGTATCATCTTTTCACTTACATCAGCCCTAAGCTCCAGAGAATGCAGCTACACTGATGTGGAAAACAAGTGTCTGGTACTTTTATGTGTTGTCAAAAAGCTGCAGTAATATCTGTATGAAGTTTTTTTCACACAACTGACCATAACCCCCTTGCTTGGCAAAATTGGGTGGCAAGGGACAAAGCCAAGCCGCTACTGTGGTGCCTAGAACTCCATCACTATAATTTCACCAAACAACACCGAAACTAGAAGCAAAATGGGAATGTATATTGATTGTCCCAACAATCTAAACTAAACAGCTAATCATGCTGAGACACCTCCAAGCCAAACAGTCAGTATCTACCTATGCCTACCAGAGACTGTTGGTCAAGGAGGGAGCACTGTCACAGAGAACTGAGAACTATAATTCTCCCAGCCCCAGTACCCCCAAAACTTGCATGGCAGATGCAGCACAGTGAGCGCCCCTGATCCTTGCTACCCGGCCACTGTAACACTAACTGATGGACTGGGGGGTTAGTTTGCAAGCCCGAAATGACAGCATGGAACTGTATGATGGATCAAAGAACGACCACGGTCCAATAAAGTGTGTTTGTTGTACAAGTCTCAACTGGTATTTGGGGATACTGCTATAATCATTTAGGACGTTTGAGCCGAGTAAGGGAGGCTAATTAGTGGGGATACTCACGCTAAGCTCCATTACAACAATGACCCCCTATAAAGAATCATGGGATTTTAGTGTTCCTTTAAGCACTACTTACGATCGTTGCTATGCTATGCTAAATTTTACTGGATACAGCAATTTCAACAAAACTAAAAACTGCCTTTGCTAGGTTTAAAGAGAAAAACGTAATGTTAACAACTTCAAACTCCTACATCTTGCAGGACAAAAAACACGTTATGCATTTGTCTACATTTATATGCTAAATAGCATGTCAAAGCATATCAACCAACAATTAAAAGAAAAGAAAAGGCCAGAGACATGAGTTAAAAAGAAATAAATATATGTTTATGTAACTAAAGTATGTGTGTCAATCAAATTAACAAAAAACAGATATTAACCTCTGAAGTCCAAGCACCATGACCATTTTAGTGATTTAAAGTGGTCATGGAGCCTGGACTGTGTATGTACAGTGTTTTGCTCTTTGCTGCACATACAGAGAAAAAGCCCTTGTTGTAACTCCACCTCCAGCAGCTAATATCAATCCTGGGCAAAAATGGCAACTAACACTAGACAGTCAATGGCAGTACATCTCCGACCCCGTGCCACCCCTGTCCCCCTCTACCTAAGGTGAGAGACAGTGATGTTAGCCGATGAAGATCCGGCTGAGGAAGAAATTGGCCTAAAAAAAAAAAAGGTAATTTAAAACATCATTTTTATTTTTAATGTCATCATCTGGGGCGGGGAAGGGTAGGACCACGACAGAAAGGGTTACCACAATCAAAACCAGTGTTTTATGAAAACTAGGCCATCACACAGAGATACCTAGCATTATACAAAGTCACATTTCAACATACGCATCATACATGTTTTTGGACACTTACATCCTTGATGTGCAAATAAAGCATTTATCACCTGCATCTACTCTGTTAAGGGTGATCAAGTTAAGTATGCATGCGCGTTGTGCATCTTTTATACAATCCAGTTGTGCTTGCTAAGGACACGATTTTGAAAAAACAACTGCAACTGCTTTAAGATGTGAACGGTATTTGCAGAGACAGATTTTAGCACTGATTGGCAGCAAAATATGGGCCCGGAGCTTAGAAACCTGCCAGTATTTTATTAATTGTAGATATTTACTGGCTGTTAGTTATAACAAACACTAACATACATCGGAAACAAGTCCTGAGCTGGCATGCATGATATGATCCACGCATCTTTACTATATAGTTTTGAGAGCTTGCACTCCAATTCTGTACAGTCATTTATGAATTCATTTTGATCTGTTAATATGAGCTATGCATAAAATCACACTCATTAGCTTAAGAGGGAACTATTGAGAAATGAAAAACAAAATAAATTTTTCAAAAATGCTCTCCAGGATATACCAGAAAAGAAAAGGAAAAAAATTGTACTTGTTCGTTAACTTACCGTCCAAAGAGCTCTGATCGTTTTTTTAATACTCAATATTACAAAGCAACATGTAATTAAAATGATGTTATCCCCGCTGTTCTTTTATTTTACATTATAGAGGTGAGTAATGCATAACGCTTGCAAAGGCACTGGGTTATTCACTGCACCAGGAATCATGAAGAACTGAGAAAGGAACTGAAATTTTAGACTAAAAAATAATTAAATGTGAATTTCAAATTTAACGTCAAAATAGCTGAACTATGCTTTCGGGTTGGCTACTTTGGCTTTAAATTTAGAATTCACTTTCAATTGTCACATTAGTAAATAAACCTGTACGTTTTTTTGTTCTTACTAAACATGACTGTTGACTGTTACTAAACATTGCAGTTAAAGGAATACACTGTAGTAGTTATGGTGCCAGGAGTGCCCTTTTTAGAATGGTTTACAGGGGTCTGCTACCTGACTCCCCTGCAGCCGGAACCGTCATTCACTGAGCCAAATTCAGCAGTGCACAAGAGCTAAAGGAAGCTCCAACAACACTTTTGGCTGTAGAGAAGGCTGTGGTGCCCATAGAACCCAGGCAAGGAGTCAAAACTTTCCCAAATGGTTTGATTACTTACATTAGTGGCGTGTACCAGAGCATTCCTGGATCCATAACCTCTCAAGAGTGCCGTCGTGTTTATGGTGCTTTGAGCAGCGCTGTATTTAGAACAAGGCTGGCTAGGAATTTAACTTGGGCAGTACTTTCAGGGGGGCGGCAAAAAAAAGCCACCCCCAAACACCCTGGCATATGCCTTGTCAGCCTCTTGTCCTAGGGGGGCCCCAAGAGCTGGCCGGCCGGCCACCCCCGAGACTGACATCTGCTCAGGTTGGTAGTGGGTGGCGAGGGAGCACTCTCCTCTGAGCTTTTCCTGCTCAGCTCCATCGCGCACCCTGCTGTGATGCTGGGGCCAAAGTGATGTCAGATTCCGGCTCCGGCATCACTGAGCGGGGTGCGAGTGAGCTGAGCAGGGATTTCCTTGCTGCCTCCATTGACCACCGCCCGGAAACGATCCCCAAGAATTCACTCCAGCACTCCCAAAGGTAAGGAGGCTAAGAGGATTGAAATTTACCAAGTCGTGCTGCAAATTAAACGTACTATTGCAGAGGCGGACGTGGAGAGAGAAAAATTAAAAGTACCATTTAGCCAGTTGGGCCTCGAGTTTATTAAAGGTAGAACTTATTCAACTTGTTCAAAGCAGTTAGACAGTAAAGAGGTGTATTACAGGGGAGAAGTGCAAAGGATGTAACTGTGAGAATTGACTTTCTTAAAAAAACAAAAACAAATAACTGCATTGAATAATTTCTCTTAATCATAACTGTAGTGTATTCAAACTGTGAATTGTCAGGAATTGAAATTTGAATGACAAACTTTAGGCAAAAATTACTAAGCTGTGACTTTAGCTCAGTTGGAGAATTATTAAAGGAGCACTATAGCGGTTGAAATACAAACATGGATCCCTAACTCTATAGTGCTTCATTACCTATGTAGGTGTCCACCCCACCTTGCAGGCATTTACATTATATTTATAACGTAAGCTTTGCTTACCGAACATCCCGTGACATGCTAGGGTGCATGCTGCCGCTCCGCCTCCCTGGTTGAGGTAATCAAGACTGATGATCTCAGACAACCCAATGTTTCGCCGTTAGTGCTGGGATACTAGTGCGCATGCATGTCAATGAGCCATGCTGCGTCAATTAAATGCTCTTGATCAGAGAAATTTGCACTCTAACCGAGTTTAACTCCGTTATACCTGCGAACGCAACTCTGCGGTCTTCCTGGCAGTCACTAGAGGTGTGTAAACCCTGCAATGGCAAACAATTAAATTTCAGTTGCAAGATTAATCCAGAGACATGGCACCTAGATTACTTTATTGAGATTACGTATTCTTGAAAGCTTTATGTTCTCTTTAAGGTAATTATGCATTCATAAAGGGGCAACCCAAAAAGTGTGTATCTATATTATGTCCTTCAATAAACACATGTAGCATGATTTTAGTGCACGTTTGCCACAGATTACACTGCCCTTGTTTTTGTGTTTTATTGAGAATTATTCCAGATATTTTAGCCTAAAACCAATCATAATCGCTTAACAGTTTCTCAGACATACAATGTCATGAGAACTGTGGCATTGCACTGCAGTGAATGTTTAAACACACTGTCAATGTACTAGGCACAGACTTGAGTCCATTTTAGCTATGGGTATTCTGCTATGCCAAATATCATACTGCTACATATAGGTGCCCAAAATGACATTCACGCTTTATAACACAGCACACCATCAGTAAAAGCCATTGTGTCACTGACAAGCCCCCCCACCATTCCCGCACACTTACTCTGGTATCAAACTCACCAAAGGTGGCAATGAGGCATTCAATTATTTGATTTTCTTTTCCACAAAATTCATAATTTAGGGGGGGAAAAAAAACCACAAACAACAACAACAACAAACAAAAAAAGTTTGTAAAAACGGTAATTTCATTCAATTCCCAACACAGAGGAATAATAATAATCACTAAACTATGAATTATTATGAATTGGAAAAAATATTTTACAATTCAAGGACAAAACAGCCAAACTGGAAAGATAGCTATTTAGTTTTTTTTCTTTTGCAATGTGGCTATTTTGTTGTAAAACATGAAATTCCCAGGTTTCTATTCTTGGTTTATTACCTAGCCCCCCCTGCAGAAACCTATATAACTATACCCACCCTAATGGAGGTCACTGTGTGACAATGATGGACACAAGGCAGAGTGTAATCAATGTAAAGGGAGCTATAGCCATGATGGCAGCAGGCCCCAGAGTCCCTTTTCACGGATATTATTATTATTATTATTATAGAGCCCCCTCCCTCTCCCCCCACCCCATGTGAAGGGACACCTCTTCCCCCTCCCCTGACTCCCACGTGCTCGCTCCGACCCGGCACTGAATGAGTTAACCCCACGGCGGAAGCATCCTGTGCGGAGCCGCGTCACTGCAGAGTCACATCCCGAGCGGTCGCGCGTATCCCTCCTCCTCCACCGCCGCCGCCGCAGCTCTAATAAAGCCCCGGGTGCCGAGAAAAGCCGAGTGAAAGTCCGACACCGGATACTCACGCAGCGGAATAAGCCCTTCCCCCACTACGTCGGCCTCCCCCCATTCTCTCTGCTTCCGGGCTCGCAGTAGCTTCTTGTCGCTGCCAGGGGGGCGCTGCGGCCTGAGCGGCAGGATCGGGACAGCCCGGCTCGGCTGGACTACTTTATCTCCGGGCAATGAAGATGGCGGCCGGGCGCTGAGCGCGGCGGGTACTAGGCCGCAGTGGGAGTAACCGGAGAACGAAGGGACGGATCGCTGCAGCGCCGGGGGATGGAGTGAAGGAGGCCGGAGCCGCAGCCCCGGGGTGTCCTGATCCCCCCCCCCCCCTAAATCCCGGGCACTGTATCGGGCGACGGGGTGAGATGCTGCCCCGCTGGGGGTCCTGCCAGCCCCGGCCCCAGTAAAGGTGAGCGGCCGGTGGGTGAGCGGGCGGGAGGGAGAGAGGGCTGGGTGGGACTGGGAACATGGAGGCTGGCGGAGGGCCTGCTGTGCGGGTGTGTTGGGGTCAGGCACGGTGTGTGTCTATTGTGTGACCCTCCGGCACACGGTGTGTGTGTGCTGCCCCCGATCTCCGGCCGTAACGCTGTTTTGGTGCCGTTCTCCCCATTCCCGCACACACACACACACACACACTGTACCCGGGCCGGGGGGTGTCCAGGTGACCCTCTAAGGCCCTGGGGGGGGGAGGGAGGAAGAGGGGGGGGGGGGTAGGTTTGGTGTATAAACTGACCATTATTATTATTATTATACAGTGATTAGTACCATGTCTCCAAAAACAGAGCAGCCACAGGCCCTAGGTTGGCAAGGTATTATGGGAGTTGTAGTCCTATAAGAGCTGGGGCTCTGCCTTTGGGCCGAGCTGTGGTTTGGGATAAGCTGTCCTGCTATTTAGGAGGGCAAGTTTCAGAGACCCCCATGGAAAGTGACGGTCAGGCATGCTTGGGTGATCTGGGGCTGTTACACATACAGTCACCATGTTTTTTTTTAATTTTATATAAATGTACAATTATGCTCAATCTGTGCAAACAACTCTTATATTTTTGTAACGTGACGGTCCTGTATCACAGCAGACTGTGTGTTATCTAAGCTTTGTTTTCACACTCATTTTTTTTTCCCCCATGTGCTTTACCTATAGAAGTAGAGACTGCATCTAGTAATTGTTGACATGTTGCAGAGCATTGTTTGTTTATTCTGGACATTATTCTGCAACTTGTGTGTGTATATTTTTCCTAATGTCTTTTGAAACTTTCATTCACTTTGTACTGCAGCTCTTTTTTAATACTGTCAGCTCAAGTATAAACTGGAAGACTTAAAAGTGATAGACCAATGTACAGGATGGTGAAACAGGACAGTCCATTGTTCTTGTACAGTATTAGGGCTTTGACTTTTCGATCACACAGGCATTTTGTGTAATCTGATATTTTATTAGCTTTATTCTTTGCACTAAAACAAAACTTTTATTTGCATGTTATATACTTATAGCCTAAATAAAATTGCCATAACACATTAAAACTTGATACTTCATCTGACAATCTCATATCCATAGTGGAAACCTTTTAATATGTGAACGTTTGTATTTATTTTCTTTTATACTGTATATGCATAGCTACAACTCATAAAGCTCATTTTTGTACCTTGGTACAAAAACATTTTAATGTGAGTTAAAATATAGAACTTAAGCACAAACTACAAAACACCATGTTTACACTCTATACTACATCTCTACCTATTTGTTTCTTATGCCTCCAACGTATAGTACTGAACTGACATGTCAAACAAAGGCACCAACAAAGTTGCTATATCATGCTTTTACCAACGGCTCTTTTAAAGTTGGGTATAATGGTGATAAAAAGAACTTGACTCAAAAAAAAAAAAAAAAACACCCAACAAAACAAACAGGGGGCTGCACTTACCTGAACATGCATAAATGGGGTGCCCAAGTAAGTGGGTTAATCTCAGTAGAGCAGACATTAGGCTGTTAGTGTAGGCGCTGCCAGAGATGGGGTACATTGATGTTGTGGCAGGCTTATGCAATGTATGATCATATAATGTAACTTAACCCCCATTATTTTTGATATATTACTCACACACACAAGGTCCACTTATGTACCAAACAGCAACTTCAATGTTGACAGATATTATTTTTTCTAAAATCCCTAATATAGGCAAAAATAATGGGGGTTAGTTACATCATATGATCATACATTACATAAGCCTGCAACGTCAGTGTACCCCATCTCTAGAAGGGCCTACTCTAACAGCCTAGTGCAGCCCCCTAATTTAAAAATAAATAAATTATTTATATATATATATTATATATTATTATTTATTAAAAAAAAAATTTAAACCTAGTTACAATTTCGATAGCTATGCCGGTACATACTTTGTAAAGGACAACAGAATCAATTTTTTTCACTGCATGCTATTATCCTAACTGATTAAATTGAAAAATAAAGCAGCCGTGATTAATGTTAACTGTATAAAATATTTTTAAGTGTTAGGCAGAATGTCGCACAGAAGTTTAAACCCCCCCCCCCCCAAAAAAAAACCACTATTGTGCTCGCACATTATGCATTTAATAAATAAATCTGTCAACTCTTGCCATAGTTCTTACTTTCCTGGTGACTAGAGGTCTATGGTAAGCTTTGAATGACAGGGGAGAACTGGATAACCTTCCCTAGGATGTTCTTCTGCTTTGTCACCGCTGTAAACCCTGCAAGTTATTCTCAGGCTTGCTGGGGTAATATATGAATGACAAATGTCACTTCTTTCTGATGCCCATGTGCTGGCAGTGAGGACATGTTGCATTATGGCAGAAGATTACCCTGTTGCCTCTGGATAGCAAGCAGGTAGTTATCTAAAATCTCCTAGTAATTAAATGTATAACTTATTACTATGGTAAATGATTTATTCATTGCATAGGTAGATGCTGTTGGCTGTAAGTGAACCTGCTATGACAGGTTCATTTTAAATGATATCAAGGTAGAAGCGTTGTTTCTTTTTCTGCTCACGTTGCTCTTGCCATTGATGGGTCACTAATCCATTGCCAGTAAATTGGTTAACAGAGCAAGTCTGCTGATATCATTTGCACCTTTTGATGCACAAGTATTGCAGGCTACTGTGAAAATGCTGTTAAAGGCTAGGTGTCATTTTTGGCTGCTGATGACAAAAATGGAAACCTTTTTCATTCTTTGACATAGCTATATTTAACCCCTTAAGGACACATGACATGTGTGACATGTCATGACTCCCTTTTATTCCAGAAGTTTGGTCCTTAAGGGGTTAAAGCTTTCCAGGCCCCATAACAACATAATTGGAATTAAGTTGTTATGAAGCGGTTTTGCTCTTTCTAAACAGGCTTGCTTCAAGGATGTTATACTGGCCTATCACCACCGGCTCCTGTAAGAGGAGGAGATAATGGGTGCCAGATTTAAGACTCGGGGGGGGGGGGTTAAACCATTTAATATTTTATTATTATTGCCATTTATATAGTGCCAACAGATTCCGTAGAGCTTTACAATATTATAAGAGGGGGGGATTTAACTATAAATAGGACAATTACAAGAAAACTTACAGGAATTATAGGTTGAAATGGACCCTGCTCAAATGAGCTTACAGTCCATAGGACTAATGTGACTAATTTTAACCACCTGAGGTAAGCTGGCACTCCGCGACCTCCTTGCTTGCACTATAACTACTATTAATCCGATGAAATTATGGTGCCTTGAGTGTTCCTTTAAGATAATACAAGATAGTTTCTATTTTGTCTTACAGCTAACCTATCACTATTTAAAGCTGTGATCATTTTAAATTTACTGCCTCTTTCCACCTCTCATCTCAGCGGCTCTTGGCAACCTTGCTTACCAATAGTTGTCATACGCATGGTACATGTGTTTTCACATATTTATAAGAATAAAAAATCTGAAATATTTTGAAAAGCATTAGTAGGATCTTAAATAAATCTTCATGCACATAAGGGTGCTATGGAGATCCAATGCACATTGCATAAGAAGATGCTAATGAATTCTAGGGTACCAACAAATCGTGGACCAGTCACTTGGACTTTTTTTTTTTTGTGTGTGTGTGCGCAAGCTTGCAATGCCACTACAGGTAGAGCAAGCACATTAAGACACAGAGCGAGGTGGTTACATGGCATTTCAGCAAATTTTTTTTTTTTTAAGAACAGAAAGACAGAATAGATGAACATGTGTAAACTTTGGTTACTAGTTAGATGACCGGTAGGCAAGACATGTAAATTGCTCTCTATGAGTGATAGTGCTTATAAGTGAGTATGGCTAATAATGTGACATAGAGAGGGAGTGGAGACCACTGAACCATAGGTTTTCCGGACTCCAGTCGGCCCCCTGGGTATATATACAGGATATGGCGAGACAAGCTACTTATGTGTCGTGGGGCTGTGGAGCAGCTTGGGGTGATTTCATCAGAGATCGTGCAATCGGCTCCAGAATTTATGGCAGATGTCCTCAAATATGTTATTGAATAAGTCGATACACTCCTGTGCTGTCAGGCTTGTTCGTGGTTGCGGTGTCTCCAGGACGGCGGGCATTTTAGGTACACTGCGCGGGTCTCAAGTTAGCCTGCAAATCGATGCTAAAGAGGGAGCTTGCCCCAGTGGGGACCGGGATATCCCTCACTGGTCCACAGGGGGGAGGAACAAGGTAAGTGACAGACCTCGTGTGTTGCAGCGTCGTGCAGGGCAGGCTACCGGTCGTTTCACCTGCCCAGCAGCGATGGTAGGCTACCATAGGGTCTCCGTGGCTATGGTAGGCTACAGTAGGGTCTCCGTGCGTAAATCTTTTTTTTTTTTTTCATTCAGGAAGCTCTCCTGTGGCTGTCTGGTAGACAGCCACTGGGTACAGACTTAGAGCTGCAATGTAAACATTTCACTTTCTCTGGAACTTTTTGCAGTAAACACTCTTCTCAGAGAAAATGCAGCATTTACATTACAGCCTAGGGATTCCTCCACTGTTTACTCTTCAGATGGCTAGTAGAGGTGCTTCCTGGGGCAGTGCTGCAGAGTGTGCAGCACCTACATTCAGTGTCTCAACCCTCTGCATGGAGGCATTGACCTTTCCTCAGAGATGCATTGAATCCTCTCCCACTTCTCCCTTCCTTGACACTCTCAGTCAATTGAATGCTTTCCTTTGGAAAAAAATGCATGCTATATTGGAATTTTTTTAATTTAGTTTAATATATAATTTTTTTTTATTTTTTTATTATTGGATTTCTGTTAATAAAAAAATTATTTTAGAGAAAAGAAAAACAAAACTGTGGAGATGGTTTTCTATTTAAAGGGATCTTATAGTGCCAGGAAAACAAAGCAGTTTTCCTGGCACTATAGGCTTAATACGTCCCGTCCCGTCCCCCTCTTCCTCACGTGCCCCCTTCAGCCACTTGCCTGAATCCAGCAAAGATGTCCCTCAGCGCTGGGTCAGGCTCCGTCCATGCTCCTCCCCCGCCACCAGCAGGGGAGACCTAATGCGCAAGCACAGCAATGGCCACGCGCACATTAGATCTCCCCATAGGATCGCCTCCCAAAATCATTCATCCTAGAATTTTCCACCTCTTTCACTTGAAGTCTCATTAAAATGTTTCACTCTGAGGTATGTATAAAGTTCCCTGTTATGAAGATCATATTTAATTTGTATGTCTGGGAATTGATGTATATCTGAGCCTGATATTAGATGTCGGGATTTGTTATCCCTTTTCTTTCTCCATGTTGTTACGTTTAAATCTTTTGTATACTGTAGTAAGTTAAACTTTGCAAAGTTCCATAATACAAATTTTCCTCAGAAGTTTAGGGGCCCAGTACCTCCACAACCACAGATAGATTTGTGTTGTGGATAGGAAGTTAAGATTTATAAGATGAACACCATGTGTTGTCCAAATGAGATCCAGTATCTCATATTTTGGAACAATGGATTGTTCTAATATATCCCATAGTGGTATACTAGACGTATCTATTAGTGCTGCTGTTTGTGCCAGTATAGATGATATGTAATATTTTTGAATATGCGGTACTCCCATTCCACCCTGTCATTTTACAGCTCATTGTGTTCAATGATATCCTTGGGGGTTTACGTTTCCAAATGTGTTTATTGTTGTCTGAAAGTTTGTTATAATTGATTTAGGAATCATTATTGGATCTAAAAAGGAATAAAATCTGTGGTACTATGCACATTTTAACAGGATTAATCTGTCCCGTCCATAATGTGGTGCTCTTATCCCAGCGTTTTAATGTATCTTGTACTTCGCATAATAGTTTGCTATGGTTGTTTTATCATTTCCTGTTTTGAAATTGAAAGATGTATACGAAGATATTTTATAGTTATTTCTCCATTCGAGTGGGGTTTCATCTTTCAACCTTCGAGCAGTCGACTCTTGCATATTAATGGGTAAGGCTTGGGTTTTAATATAATTTTTTTAATTTATTTTATTTTTATTTTGCTTTTACGTATAAGGTTTCTTACAGTGAACCTTTTAGACAGTTGAATACATAAACATTCTGTGATACATACATCGTATAGAAGTATTTACAAGCATCG